CACACAAATTATATCATTGCTATAGTATTTAGCCAGAAGCATCAAGTGATACCTCTTTTTTCTCTTGTTCATCATTTACTCTGTATAGAATAATTTCAGGTTTGCACATTAGCTATTTGCTAGAGAAGCAGTTTCAACAACCTTTGCAGGAGTACCTCAGACTGGTGTGGTGAATATTTTCTCTCTGCTTTGGCCTCCTTGGGGCTAGAAACCTTAAGCAAAGCATACCCTGAAGGGGATTTTGATTGTGCACCACTGAATGACAACTATGCTGACCAGTGTGACATGTGCAAGTTCAGAACTGCACTTTCTGGTCCAAGTTCTGTAAAGCTTACAGCATAGCTTATGAAAGCAAGATAAAACTGAGATATTAATGTCTTTATTTCTTTAGTATCTTGTCTGCATATCTTAATCTGAAACCTTTAGTATGCTCCTGAAGGTATTTATCTTCTTTGGTTTCCACTTCCCCTGTGTTGACCAATGCATTGACATGACAGTGCTTTGCTGCTTTGGATCTTTTGCTGCATATTAGATCAGCTTTCATCACCACGAACTCATCTGTGACAAATTATTGGCTGTTTAGTTTCTGCAAGTTGCTTTGGCCAAATACTAATGTCATGTTATAGGGCTCTTTGATCCACGAGTTTCAAACTAAACTTCACAAATCCTTTGCCCTAATTAAATTTATACAATTCAATTTAAAGATTGAATTGAAAACTTTTAAAACCAAATTCTAGGCTATAATGCTACAGAAAGCATCTCAATAGGATGAAAAAGATATGTCCACATATTTTCAAAATAAAATGAAGAATCTGTCTAAACCCTTATTGTAAATTTTGAGTTTGTTATTCATTTCAGGTCAGTGTATTTTTTAGTATTCTAGATTGTGAAAAGCAATAAAAACACACCAATAAACAAATTAACTCAGTGTCTATGGATAAGTGGCTGAAAAACAACAAAAAATAATGAGTGACATTTATTAATCATTGCTTTAAGTACTGTGGTTTAAATACACTTATTAGATTTAAATACTTCAGCAAATAGATGCTTTTCTTTATAAGTGCCACCAATTGATTTCTTATTGGTTGTTAAGTATTGTGTAAAATATTTCGCTTTCCTTTAACCTGCTAGCATTGAGTTGATTTTGACTCACAGCTGCCCTTAGGACAGAGTATAACTGCCACAAAGGATTTCCAGAAGAGTCATCTTTATAGAAACGTTATGTCTTCATCTTTCTTGGGAGAAAGAGAAACCCTATCCTTTTGATTAGAAACTCAGTCCATAACTGTTTCTAGGGCTCTTTTTTACTTGCTTTACCCCATCTGAAGCTTCTCCACAACTCTGTTAAGTATATTGTTAATATATTAATATATATTAAATATATTATATTATATATAATTATATATAATAGTTATATATAATATAACTATTACTCCCATTTCACAGATAGGGAGATTGAGGGTTCTAACAATTAAATAACTAACCCAATGTTAAGCTCCCAGGAGACTTCAGAACTGAGATCCAATAGATAATAAGATGTATGTGTTACAATAATAATAATAATAATAATAATCCTAAAATTTTAATATGGGTTAGTAGTGGAGTAGTCTAGATATGCTGTCATTTTAACATTTATGCATAGTTGAACTAAAGCTTAATATTTTCAATTTTAGTCTTAATATTTTCAATTTTAGTCTATGGGGAAAAAAAATCATAAGCATGCAACATTCTCGTTCTCGTCCACAAAAGATCTTCCTTTGAAGTCTCTTTAGTCAGTTTGGATTTTAGTTGAGCATTTAACAGAAGTTAAAATGTAATACCAAACTTCATTGGTTGGATTTTTATTAGATAAGGTAGAAATGAAAGCAGCAGGCAATTTAATTAGCAGTAATTTTTCTGGGCAAGTCATTACTTTGATGAACTTCAGAGCAATGTTTATGGCTCCTAATTAACCATGTTAGTCATTTGATTGAATAATCACTTTGGAAATGTTTCTACAATTTGATTAGAGTCTGACCCACTCTGATCATCATAAATTAACTGATATCACTTTAGAATAACATGACTTTAGTTACTTTATGGGGATAAACTCCTCTTAGCCATTTTTTTTTAGGTATATATATATCTCACCATTCTTAAACATAGATGGAATTTATATAATTCCATTAAATATGTCTCACAATCAAAAGCTAGATGTTGATTTTGTTTACTCTGTGGTGTAATAACAAGTATTAGGAGTTGGCAAAAAAAACACACAACCACTATTGTAGTCTCATCTTGTTTTTCCTAAATTCCCATGAAATGCTTTTTTTAGACCTTAAAAATTTGAACCTTGGAAATTTCATGGGAAGTTGAGTTTTCACCTTAGTATAAGTCATTAACTCATTTTGAGCTTTAAATCAAAGTATTTTTAATGTCATAGATTAACAGACTGAAGAAATTACAAAATGCAACATTAAATAACAAACGATCCATTTCAGCTAATCATCTGTCGAATTACCCATTAATAGTCTTATCATTTGATGTCAGTTGGCTGGTTTGCCAAATTTCCCTATTTCTTTGCATTATGTTAGAACCCTTTTATACGGTGTTCTTTCAATTCTAAAATAGTAGGATTCTCAGAAATGCTTGCTTTTCCTGTCTTCTCTCTCTCCCCCTCCCTTTTCAGCCCCTCGGGAGGAAAGACTTGCATTCCAACCCATTTATATATAATAGAGTTTCGCCTATATGTTTTCCTCCGGCTGCCTCCAGAGCCAGCCAGCTGTTTTAACAGCCACACTCCAGCTGTGTAGCAGTCAGTAAAAATATTTTGTGGCAAGGTGTCAACATTGGTAGAGCATAATGCTTGCCTCCAAGCAGCTGCTGACCTGATGGCTGGGTCATTAACACTGTCCTTTCCAAGTCCAGCTGGTTTGAGGGACCTTTTCCTGGCAACAAATCAAAATAGCATTAAAAACTAGTTTTAAGTACCTCTGGCCAAAAAGTTCAATTACATGAATTGCTAGCTAATTGGTAGCAAGCACCGACTACTTTGCCAACCTTACTATAGAATCAACATCGAGAAATTGATTAATTCTGCCTTTTGTTGAATTGAAATCATAGGCTATGTAACACTATATGTAAAGATGTTTTAGTACAAAATATGTTGATAAGATTTGTCATATTTCAATTTGTAAATACTGGTCCCAATGTACTTTTAAATTTTATTGATAGATATTATGGTTTATCCTTAAGATCTTCCCCCTTCCCTCTCCAATGAAGCCCTGTAAGATACCTTTTCCTTTGTTGATTCCACTTTGGTAACTGAAAACTGAAAAAAAATTAAAACGCTGAAATATATTCAAATTACAAGTGGAAGTTAGGAAATTCTGTACTCTGATATATGTCTGGGATGCAAATTCTGTTAAATTTTGGCTTCTTATTTTGTTGACATTCATTTCCTGGCAATGTTGAAAAGAAAAAATAGACCTAAAAGGGAAATTTTAAGGTGATCAAGAGCTATATCTATGCTAAGAAATTGTGCTATCTGTTAAATCTTGGAAGTTTGTAACTAGTTACAAAAAGATGGAGGACTTTAGATTCCAGTAAATTCCTATTTCCTTTTTTACCTGGTTCAGTGGTCATGCATTTGTAAACAGTGATAATAAAAAGGGCATATACTCTCTCATCGAATAATATTTCTGTGAGATATATTTTGTAAGTTTGTTTTTATGAATGTAGTTGAAGAATAAAAAGAAATTGGGAGGTCTGGTGGCCTAGTGCTGTCAACCTCAAATCCTCAGTTCGAATCCACTAGCTACTCCATGAGAGAAAGATGAGCAGTCTCCTCTCGTGCAATTTACAGCTTCTGAAAATATGCTAGATGGTCATCTATGAGCTGGTTCTGACTCAGCGGCCCATAACAACCATAACAATAATAAATTACATGTAGAATTGACTTATATTGACAAATTCCTGCATAACCTGTGTGTGCTATATGGGTTCTCTATATAACAAAGTTGGACATTTATATGGAACCTGAAACTGATAGCGTTTTGGGAATCATCTTAAAATGTGAGTTGAACATAGAATTAGATAAAGGTCCTAGAAGGGAGCCCATGTAAGTGGAGGGTCCTGAAATTTAGGTTAAACTACTTTTACCACTGATTATGTGAGGAACTTTATATTCAGAATTAAGGAGTGTAGAGATTGTAACAGACTTGGGTCTAGCTTAATTTGTGACAAATCAAGGGCTGAAATTTACCTCTCTGCCTCTTAAACCATTATTTTTCACCCATATCTAAAACTATTAAACTTATTACTTACACAGTCATGGCTGTGGTTCAAGTTTATCCATTAACCAAGTTTATTTTCTCACTGATGAGCTCACTTCCTCACATAGTCAAGACCTTACTCTTAAAGGTAGAAGAAATTGTTGGATTTCTGTTTTATAACCTCCCTGTGAATATGATCTATATGCCTCACAAAAATGAAGTCAGTTATGCTCTACGAGGCAGGGGTGGAGATTGGGCTGAAATCGTGGAGAAAAAAATCACCTAGGGAAGACTTGAGCAAATTAAAGAGATAACTGGTTTTTGTCTTTTCCTTTTCCTTTGAAAAATCTGTCTTATGTTCGTAGAATAAACTAGAAATGAATTTTCAGTTGATTTGTTACTTTTTAGATAGAATGTTATGTACCAATTTAGTCTGTGTTTGTTATGAAATATGAATCACAGCACCAGGACACAATCGCCCTCCAGTGTGGTCGCCCTTGGAGTGACCTTCAGCAGGGCTGACTTGGATCCAACTTGGAATTCATGTACCTGCTCTGGCGAATCAGCACGCACCATGATATGTTTTTCTTCCTTCCATTTCTTGTGTGGGCCATGCCTGAAACGTTAACTATGTGTTGACAGGTTTCCTCTTGGGGACTTGTGTCAGTTTCTGTTATGTTCCTATCTGTGATAACAGCACATTTTCAACTCCAGATGCCTCTCTGACCGCTGTTGTTTCCTTTTCAGAAGTGCCTAGCTGCCACTCCATTTATATGAGGCAAGAAGGTTTTCTGGCTCATCCCAGCAGAACAGAAGTTAAGTTTTCTACTATTGAAATTCCTTGTAAATATCTTTCAAAAGAATCAATATCCCAAGAATGAGGTCACTTAATCATTATAATCTATGAGTAAAATTATTATGTTCCCCCAAACTATTGTTCTAAAACTTTATCTTTTTAAAGTAAAAGGAAGATTCTTTATGTCATGATCCCTTGTACTAGGTTGTTAACATGACTCATACTCTCATAAACAGCTGAGAAGTGGATTTCTGTGTTCTTTCTTGCCAATAACCACATCCTTTTAAAATAGAACATATGCCTTATAGATTAGTTAACCTTTCTGCACTCAATTGAAATGGGTTTTGGTTATTTTTTTTCTCAAGGAATATTCTATTTTCCCCACAGATCTAAATTATCATCATTTTGAAGTAAGGGTGTGTTGAATAGACTAATAAATGAGCTCATCTTTAATGATATTGGACTCTTATGTTTTGGGATATGCTATTCTTAAGAACGGGATGTCATATAGAAATGCCTAAAGAATGAATTTTTTTCTGTTTGTTTAGTTTTGTTTTACTCTGGATATGTTTGCACTAACATGGAAGAAAATTTTTTCTCTAATGGCATTTGACACCTGTACATTAATGAATAGGAACTCTTTCATCTGAGTATAACCTCATTAAGTCTATTTCTGGAAATAAATGCTTGATTTTTTTTAACTAAACCCCACACTTTTAAATAAGATTAACTTAGAAGCATCCTAATAGTTAGGCCTAATGTTGATTCTTTTTTATAAATGGTATTCATATAAAGAAATCTCTATATTAAAAGGATGGTATAATGAGACTAAGGAATCCTGGTGATACACTGGTTAAATTCTTGACTGCTAAACCAAATGATTAATGGTTTAAACTCACCAGCCTCTTAGAAAGACAAAGCTGTGGCAACCTACATCTATAAAAGATGTGAAAAAGAGAAAGATATTGCAGCCTACTTATGTAAAAATGTCAGCCTTAGAACCCCAGTGAGGCAGTTCTGCACTGTGCTATAGGGTTGTTAACAGTTGGAATCTAATAGTAATGGATTCGGTTTGGTTTCAATAGTGAAATGGTAAATGCAATACTTGAGACTGTAAATCTTTTACAGATGCACTGCAATTGTTGTTGCTACCATTGATAAATATATAGTCATCACAGAGAAAAATAAATTGAGAACTGAAACTACATGGAATTGTTTCCCACAGATAAAAGATATTAGCAATCAGATTAAGACCTCCACAATCAAGGAAATTAGGAGAAAAAATGATTGGGAAAAACTGTCAAGTTTTGTACAGCAGAAAAGAATGAAGCTTTTTTATTCTTGTTATCTTCACCTTTCATAAGAAATTCTCTATTTTGAGAAGATTTGTTGGGTAAATATTTCTACAAAAAGTAAGAGTGTGAAACAAATTTACTTATTAACCTGATGATCTGAAACAGATTTGTTTCACACTCTTACTTTTCTTAGATGCTGCTATTGTCATCTCCATTTTATAGGTAATAGAACTGAGTCCAGGGTCACTGAGTTAACAAAGCAGCCATCATTTTCTGTGACACTTTTTGTGCTAATCGTCGTATTTAAAATAGTCTGAGTTTCATTTAGATCACAAATAAATGTATCACATTTCCACCCCCCCCCAACAGGTTGCATGTTCGAAAAGGGTCCTAGGCAATTTTATGATGACACTTGTGTTGTCCCAGAGAAATTTGATGGTAAGTTTTGCGTTGTTTTTGTGTAATGGAACATTTATGCCTCTCCTAAAAGCAGGTGACATCTCTGCGTAAAGATTTCTACACACATCATTTTGCATGTGTTCATTTCTAGCTAACCTTCACCTCTTACAAATTCTTTTCCTATCCCCATTAAGAAGCTTTGGTTTTCCTTTTGCCTTGCACAAGATCCATTTTTGGAGATATATATCCAAACAACATCCTTCTTATTGAGGTTTCTGTTGAATAAGAACAGGCTTTCTGTTGCCTTTAAGAGCACATGCAGCTTGTTACTCGAGATTTATTGAAAACTGATCCTGTAATTAACAAAGCAGAGCAGAGAGCTTGCCATTGTGGATGCACTGATGACTAATGCAGCTTTCTTGCTTTTATGGTTCACAAAAGGATGCATTATGGAACATAAGAACAACATAGCTGCCCATTTAGTTCTTGATTTTTTTTTAGTCCCTCTTTTTCCTCCCTTTCTGGGAAGATGTGTATTACTAATGTGACATTACTTTGTAATTGCTTAAAAGGGAGTTAGGGAAAGCATTAACTTTTAATACCACTCACTGTTGCAATGAGAAGGTCTTCGATGTTAGGAAGGGGTGTCAAGTTAGATAGAACCTTCATTTCTTGATAAGGGTGCCATCTATGAGGAAGCTGGGGTAATATGTGAACAGTAATTTATTTAGTTGGTTGTTTGGAGTGGTCTCTGTATTTCCTGTTTTGATTGTTTAACAGGAAACGAGCAGGGGCCCTTTGATTAGCTGATTGCACAAACTTTGGGGATCATGGCTATAATGATTTGGGAGCATTCAGAAGTTTTAATTGCCATTATTTAAACAGCAGAGTACTTGCATGGGTTGCTTTTTAATCCCTAATTAGTTGCTTGAAGGCTATGTTCCCAAGCTTTTTGCTATTCTTACCCTTCTTGGAAGAGATGGTAAGTCTTGGGAAGATCTGCTTTCTTAGCTTCCCTTTAAAGGGCTGTTTTCAAGGTCACAGGGTTAAAAATCTGGCAGAGGTCAATTTTCCAGCCTTATGCTATGATACTTGGGAGTTTCAGGCTTGGTGTTTCCGAGGTGTGAACTGTGCCATTTAGCACCATCAGCAGAGCATCACAATTCTTAAAATAACAGCTTTTTCTCTTGAGGCAAAGCTTAAAGCTTCTGCCTCTTAAAATGACCTTCGTCAGTTTTTTAATTCTTTTTTTAAAATTTTTTTATTGGTTTGCATACAATCATTCATTTACAATGTGTTTCATACATTTATATGCATTGTATTTTATATCATTAATTACTGTTGACCCATGCCTATTATAATAATCCATGATTATCACCCCTTTGTTTTGCGTTCCTATTGACTTTCCTATTCCTTCACCCTGCCCCCCATTCCGTCCACTAAACGCTGCTCTCCTAATGATTTTCACCCTTCCCCTTCTTCTGCCTCTTCCCCTTTCCCACTTCCCCTTTTGGACATTTATATACATCTAAGGCTTTATATGTTAAGAAATCTTTAAAATTAGAAAGGGAGTGCAAAGGAGAAGAAACAGTAGACTGGATTGGGTAAAATCAAATAGGCCAGCGTCACGTCACCTGTGGTTTAGGGAATCAGTTTTGAGTATTTAGTCCCCTTGCTGTTAAATCATCTTCCATTTTACACTAAGACAACAACATTTTTTGGAAGACAGTATATGTTTCACATTTTATATGAAATGGAGAACAAGAAAAAAAAATATCAAAGGAGACAGCTTTTCATTGTACATGGCCAATATGATCCGACGCATTTATAGGCAGAAGGAATCCACAGACTCGAAAATGTGACAGCGTTTCGCTGTCACTAAAATTGCTCAGTCACCTCCATTTAAAAATATATGAATCTCAGAAGGAAAATCTGTGATAAATAAAACATTGAAATCAATATGAGGAGACCAAAAACAACATAATGATTTTCAGCAGCTATTGACTGAATAATTTTGTGTTTTAGCTAGGTTTGAAAAAACAGTTATTCCTTTTTGTAATATTTTAAGAGGTATATTTTTTTCTTACAGATCTAAACAGAATTTTTTTTAAGCATACGTTTTAGCCCATTTCATGCTTCACACTAACTGTGAATAGACATCTTGAAAACACATTGTTTGAATTGTTTCTTTAGTAGAGCCGTTCACACCTCAACAGTGATGTATGTACACAGCTCTAACCTTCAGTCTTCAGTCTAACCAGTTCCATATCTTTTTTAAATGTTTGGCTGGATATAAAGGTAATTGATCAGTTTTCATGGAACTGAGTATGTTTTCCTAAAACCAAAATAACTGACCAAATTAAAAGCATAGAAGTACTGCAGTACTAAAATTTTTGTTGATACCAACTATTTAAAGATTTTTTTCCCCCTACTATGCTGGGATAGTGCATTAAATGGAATACACTCTTTAATAAAAAAATTATGTCATTTTTGTTATGTATCATCGAGTTGCATGACTCATAGTGACCCTATGTATGACAGCCCTAAACCCTGCTCTATCCTGTGCCAATCTCACTGTCTCTGACACACCTACCCCCATTACCCCAGTCACTGGATCAATCTACCTTATATGGGTTCTTCCTCTCCTCCACCCTCCCAAGCATGACATCCTTCTCCAAGGACTGGTCCCTCCTTACAACATTTCTAAAAAATTATCAGACTTTAAGATAAATAATGGAAGTTTAATTTAGTTAGTGAAAAATAAGATAAAAATAAAAGAAATATTTTTTGTTGAGAAAATCATACCACTATTATGAAAATGTTGTTGTGTACCTTCGAGTCAGAATCAACCAATACCTGACCCTCCAGTGGATTTTCGAGGCAGTAAATCCCACAGGAGGAGACTGCCCATCTTTCTCCTTCAAAGCAGCTTGTGGATTCGAGTCTCATAGTTTTGCATTGGCAGTGCAATTCCTAACATTAAGCTACCAGAGCTCCCTATTGTGAAGATAGTAGCATGAGAACTCAAAAACAACTGTTATCATGCTGATTCTAGTTTGCCATGACCCTGTAGGACAGTGGAACTGCTGTGTAGGGTTTACAAGGCTGTAAGTCTTTATGGCAGCAGACTATTTGATCTTTCTCTTGAGAAGAACTGTTGTGTTCAAATTGTATAATGTTCAATTATCAGCCCAACACTCAATTCTTTGTGTCATCAGGACTGTGTAGTATAATTGTGATCTCGCCTATTAGAAAAAAACCCCAAAATTATCCTGTATTTTTTTGTCATGAAGCTAATTCTAAGTCTGTTATTATTATTACTATTATTATTATCATTACAATTACTATTATTATTATTATTATTACTATTAATGGGCAACTGTAATGTAAAAGTTGGGAACAGGGAGGAAGGATCAGTAGCTGGAAAATACGGACTCAGTGAGAGAAATGAGGCCGGAGATAGATTGATAGAACTCTACAAATTCAATGATTTATTCATTGCAAATAGATTTTTATAAGAAACATAAATGCAGACTATACACATGGATCTCACCTGATGGCATGCATAGGAATCAAATAGATTACATCTGTGGAAAGACTCGGTGGAGAAGGTCAACATCAGCAGTGAAACCAGGCCAGGTGCTGATTGTGGGACAGACCACCCAACTAGTCATATGCAAGTTCAAGCTGAAGTTGAGGAAAATTCAATTAAGTCCACGAAAACCAAAATTTGATCGTAAGTCTATCCCACTTGAATTTTAAAACCATCTCAGAGACAGGTTTGAGGTCTTGAGCGGAGGATATCAAGAAAATTGTCCATGAAGAATGCAAAAGATCTTTACAAAGGCTGAAAAGAAGAAAAGACCAAGACGGATGTCAGATGAGACGCTGAATATTTCATTAGAGCACTGAGAAGCCAAAGCTAAAAGAAAAAACCCAAGAAATCAAAGAGCTAAACAGAAAATTTCAAAAGGCAGCCCAGAACAAGAAAGCGAGATACTATAATGAAATGTGCAGAGAGCTGGAGTCAGAAAATCAAAAGGGCAGAACTCGCTCAGGGTTTCTTAAGCTGAATGAGCTGAAACATAATTCAATCCACAAGTGGCAATACTTAAGGGTACTTTGGGCAGAATATTAAATGATACAGGATATAAAGAGCAGATGGAAGGAATATAGAGTCATTGTATCAGAAGGAATTGGCTGACACAGAAGAATTTCATGAAATGACATATGAGCAAGAGCCTGAGGTGATGAAGGAGGAAGTTCAAGTTGCTCTGAAGGAATTGGCTAAAAACAAGACTTCAGGAGTTGACGGTATACCAATTGACATATTTCAACAGATAGACACTGGCCTGGATGTGCTCACTAAGTTGTGCCAAGAAATCTGGAGAACAGCCAGCTGGCCCACTGACTAGAAAAGATCGATATTTGTTCCCATTCCAAAGAAAGGTGACCCAACAGAGTGCAGAAATTATCGAACAATATCATTAATATCACATGCAAGCAAGATTCTGCTGAAAATTATCCAAAAACATTTGGAACAATATGTCAACAGAGAAGTGCCAGATGTGCAGGCTGGATTTAGAAGAGGTCTTGGTACTAGGGATATTATAGCTAATGTTAGATGGATCTTGGCAGAAAGCAAAGAATACCAGAAGAATGTGTATCTGTGCTTCATTGACTATGGAAAGGCTTTTGACTGTGTGGATCACAATAACCTATGGCTGACTCTGAAGGGAATGGGAATCCCAGAACATTTGTGCTAATGTGAAACCTATACTTGGACCAAGAGGCAGTCATCAGAACAGAGCAAGGAAACACTACGTGGTTCAAAATCAAGAAGGAGGTCTGTCAGGGACATATTCTGTCTCTATACCTTTTCAATCTGTATGCAGAACAGATCATCTGAGATTCTGGGCTATATGAAGAGGAATGTGGCACCAAGATTGGTGGAAGAGTCATCAACAACCTGCGCTACGCAGATGACACAACCCTGCTTGCTGAAACTGAGGAGGACCTGAAGCGCTTGCTGCAGAAGATCAAGGACTGCAGCCTCCTATAAGGACTGAAGCTCAACATCAAGAAAACAAAGATTCTCACCACTGGGCCAATTGGCAGCATCAAGATGGATGGTGAAGGGGTTGAGATAGTTAACAGTTTTAGTTTGCTTGGCTCCACAATCAACACTCTTGGTAACAGAAGCCAAGAAATCAAGAGAAGAATTGCATTGGGAAAGTCAGCTGTGAGGGACCTCTCAAGAGTACTGAAGAGCAATTGACATCAGACTAGAGACTAAGGTGCACCTGATTCAGGCTATAGTCTTCGCAATTATGTGCTATGCATCAGAGAGTTGGACAGTGAATAGGGTTGATAGAAAGAGAATTGATGCCTTTGAGCTTTGGTGCTCAAGAAGACTGTTGAATATACCATGGACTGCTAGAACAAACAGGTTTGTCCTGGAGAAGGTGAAGCCGGAATGCTCCTTGGAGTCAAGGATTCTGAAGCTTCATCTGACATACTTTGTCCATGTTGCAAGGAGAAACTGTTCCTTGGAGAGGGACATCATGTTTGGTAGAATGGAGGGGCAGCGAAGGAGAGGAAGATCTTCGATGAGTTGGATCAATTCTGTGACTGGAGCGGTGGGAATAAGTACATTTGAGATGGCTAGGTTGGCACAGGATAGAACAGCATTTAGAGCTCTTGAATATAGGGTCGCTATGAGTCACAAGCAACTCTATGGCACATAACAACAACAATATTATTAATTTTAATGATAGTTTACAGAGACTCTGGATTTCCATTAATTCATTATTTCACTTATCTCCCTGCCCAACCTCCCCACCCCCCCCTTCACTGTTCTCTTTGAAAAGGAAAAGAACAGTTCTTCTATTGTTTTATGGTCACTCCCTCCAAGTCCACTCCACTACTCAGCCTTCGTTCTGGACTCCTGTCATGACAATAATACCTAATCATATATCCCTTTTAAACAGTCCTTTATCAGTTTCAATGTAGTATACATAATTTATCACATCTTTCTCAGTCTACCCCCAATGCCGATGTCAGCCCTGTTTTACAACAGTGGCACTATGTAGTATTTGTCCTTTTGTGACTGAGATATTTCACTCTGCATAATGTCCTCCAGGGTCACACATTTTGTATAACATTTCATGAGTTCCTTGTTTTTCAATGCAGCAAAGTATTCCATTGTGTGTAATTCTGACTTTTGACCACCCTATAGTTGTCAGAATGTTCCACATAATTACCTGGGAGATTTTCCTAGTGAAGAAAAGTTTATAGATACTACTAAATTTGCCTTGGAATATTGGTAATAAATTCTTCAGTTGCTTGCACTATGCAGGTAGTGAACAGTTTACAGAATCTAGCTTGTATCATTTAATTTGTACTAATATAGTGTCCATAGCTTTAAATTAGGCTGTCCTGGTGGCATAGTCTGTGAAATAGGAATTGTGAAGCTGACCAAAGGCAGCACCTTTTTGGCGGCTTGAATACACCAACAACTTCTAGGGAGAAAGATGGACACCGTCCTCCCAGGCAATCTTCAGCCTCCACAAGCATACTGCGTGGGAGGTATGATGAGTTCCCACTCAAGAGCAGTCAAAACTTTGCTTCGCTACTTCCTCTTTTGTTGTTTGTAGAATTGTGAGAGGTAGCATAATTAAGTACTAGAATTTTTAAAGACATGAGTAAGGAAAAAATTATACAAAATTTTTAAGTGAATGGCATTCATAGATTCATTCTATACCTGTGTTTCCTTACATTACACAATGTGTTAGACATAATTTTGGTAAGTTCATATAGATTGCTGGTTTATATTTGAATTTTTAACAATTTTAAGTACCAGGAGGGTACAGTCTGTTGAGAGGGACATCATGCTTGGAGGGAAGGAGAGACAGCACAGGAGAGGAAGACCCAGGATGAGATTGAGTCAGAAATTGGAGGAATGAATTAGGTCTGTCAGAGATAATGAGATAATGAGCCTGGCTCAGGATATAGCAGGTTTCAGAGCTAGTGTATATACGGTTGCTTGATGGCACATAACAACAAGAACATCAATCATAACATTATATTACATTGAAATCCATAAGATGATCATGATATAATCATTTCAGAGAGTGGATTAATTCAAATTTCATGTACATGACATAATATTTCTAATAATAGAATGTTTTTTCCAATGTAGGGGACATCAAACAAGAGCCAGGAATGTATCGGGAAGGACCGACATACCAGCGGCGGGGCTCCCTTCAGCTCTGGCAGTTCTTGGTAGCTCTTCTGGATGACCCTTCGAATTCCCACTTCATTGCCTGGACTGGCCGAGGCATGGAATTTAAACTGATTGAGCCTGAAGAGGTTGGTTTAATAACTTTTACTAAAGAGACCCGATATATGAGAAAGAAATAGATATATTTGATTAATACAGAATGAAAACAGAAGGGTTTTTCCCCTTTATAAATTTTAGGGAAACTTACTAAATAAAATCTCAAACAGCTACATTTAAGATCACATATTATTAGATATTAAGTTCTTATTCCAGCTACATCCTATCCTATAGAATTGATGGGAGGGGATCAGCCCAGCTTCAATAGCATTAACCTTTATTCAAGAATTTTATTTTGTGAATTGAGGAAGGAGGGCTGAAAACTTGGAAAATGCGAGAGAGTCAGCTGAACTGAAACTAGCTTCAGGAGTGAAGGAATTGTGAATTAGTAGACATTATTTGGAAGATAAGGGTTTTATCAGGAGAGTTGAAGAGGAACTTTTACAAACCAGTCATGTGTGACAAAAGGTGGAGGTGGAACAGCTGTGGACACCAATGCATAACTACATAGTGGAAAATTCTCAGAGCCCGAGTCTCTGAAGGGACACGAGACCTTGGAAATATTGGTTCCCTTTGTTACTGACATCTGTTTCAAGTCAAATGACTGAGTATAGTCCTTCGAAAGCGGTTCCATAATAATAGTACATGAAGTAGTATCTGAGAGGATTTCTGATAAGTACAAATAATATGGGCAAATGCAACACATAAATTGAGTAATTTCTTGATAATTTAAAATTTCAATTTCTCCTCCCAGCAGAAGTTTTAGTCATCAGGCTATTATTGTTATTGTAATGTAACTCATAAATAGCATGTTTGAATTTTGTAGAAAATTGTTTAAAATATTTGTTGTATTAAAGATACTATCTATACTGTTACTAAAAGTTTCTTCACTACACATTGCTCAAGCTCTGGTGGCATTGTCCATGTAGAGTTGCATTATTAATCTAAAGGCAGCACCTCTAGTGGTTCGAAACCATCAATGGCTCTGAGAGAGAAAGATGTGGAATCTCTACCCTTGTGATTTACAGCCTCCCAGAAACCCACTGAAAGGTGAACTATAAGTCAATTCTGACTTGACAGAAGTAAGAGAGAGTGATGCAGTTAGCCTAGAAAGCAATGGAAACTATTTAGCTACATGTGTAATAAATCATATTTACTATAGGATCTAAATACCTCAATAGGCTAAAAAATTTCAGTAAGCTCTTTAGCTCTGTTTATACTGAGAACGATTAAATCATATACAGACTGGACATATATACAGGCTATACTACTGATCATATATCTCTGATGGTCTATTTTTATTGAATATAAAAGCCTTCTATGGATAGGCTAAAGATACATAATCATTTCTTTAAATGGGAAAGTATTCATAAGCGATTGCAAATACCATGACCTGTATCAGGTGCACCTTAGTCTCCAGAGAGACACTGTTGCTCCTGAGTACTTTAGAGAGGTCCCTAACAGCAGAATGAAGTATATTCAACCGTGTATCAGGTAACGTATCCGAAGTTGATTCCCAAAAGAGAAAGCCACATTATATAGTAAGATTTATAATATAGTCCAATTGTAGTGTGTATTGAAGATACTCTAGTGGCCTCATGGCTAAGGAACTATCCCGTCAACTCAAAAGCAGATGTTTCTGCTCTAAGGGAGAAAGATGGAAAGTTTATTTATGAACCAAAGTCACGTGCAAGAAAACGTTGGCGTGGAACTTTCAAATTTAAAGCCTCCAAACACCTGCTGGAAGATCAGCTATGAATCTGTTTCAACTCGTTAGCAATAAGAGAAAAAGAGAATAGCAATGAAAGAGAGACATGTACAGTGTGTGTGTGTGTGTGTGTGTGTGTGTGTGAAATAAGAGTAGCTGCTAGCACAATTGCACTTTTCCCAGATTTATGAATACCTTAGTGGCATTAGAGGGCTGGCTTTGCAGTTTCTTCCTTTTCAGTCACTACTTGTACACACACACGTTTGCTCACCTTCACACAAGTCTCAGAATTAGAGTTTGGAAAAACTCAATTAAGTAATGTGGGCTAAATGTTTGAGTTTTTAAATTTTTGAGTGTCTAAAGCTTAATTTCTCTGTAAACTTGTTTTTATATAAATATACTTTTAAGATAAGTTTAATGCTTCTTTTTAGTATAGAAATGATGTAAGTTAAGAAAGTGCAAAAACATTCTGAAGCACTAACAAATGAGACTGGGACCCTTCACATAAAGTAATTTGAAAGACCTTTAATGTGATTCCTTCACCTCATGAAAGATGCCAATAATCATTACATGAATTGGCTTGTGCTAGAGTGGAGTATATTCAATAGGATTTCTTTATCTGTTAAATAGTTCTTTTTCCCCACCTGTAATGAGAATAAATTGAGAGAAAGAAGATTTTTAAAGTTTATATGTATGTGTATGTGTGTGATACACACACAGAGGAAATTAATGAATTCATTGATTCTTAGTGATTCTTAAGAGCAAAAATACTTCTGCAGATGATTGAGTTATTTGTATAGCAACTATTAGATTTCTTGATGATAAAGTTTGTATAAATAGAATAAGAGACTTGAATTGTAGGTATAGGGGGGAAATATAATTACATCTATTCCAAACAACAGAGTAGCATTTATAGAACTTTTCTTTAACAGACTCATAAAAGCAAACAAACCACTCTCCCCAGCAACACCCCCCCAAAAAGAACCCACTCTGTAATTGAAAGTCAATAATCATTTCCAAATAATATCTAACTTAATGAGAATTATTCAGTATGCACTAAATGCAGCAGAGACCTCTGTGAAAGAGAACATCTCATTTCTGAACACTACATTTCTCATTGTACAATTGCTATTTTGTTTATCTTTTTCTAAGTTGGAATGTCCTTATAAAATGTTTTTAACCCATGAGTTCACAATCTCTTTGCTCTACTACAGAACAGCTCATCATGTGTTCTGTCTGTGGCATCACAATTCATGAAAAAGGCCTCTGAAACCTCTTTTCTTGGAATTAATCACTTCCTTTCTTTGATCAACATCTTGAAACTTAGAATGATAATGAATGAGATTTCAGGCTTAAACTGAATATCAGCTTAATGTGCTTGGATAACTCTGCAAACATATAATCATATAGTCTTTAATATATATTTTTTGGAGGACATTTGAGATAAGGATATATGATTTTGGAATTACTGATAGAAGTTAAGACAATTTTTCCAGGGAATAGTAATGAACATAGGTTTATATGTTGTTTGCTGTAGTTAGAACTAACTCATAACTGGCCCTCCATCAGGTTCACGGAGGCTGTAAATTGCATAGAAGGAGCTTGCCCATCTTTCTCCTGTGGAAAAACCAGTGAATTTTTTGTATTGAAGACAATATGAACATCTTTTCATGATATTCAAGCTAATTGAGCCAAAAGAGTTTTCAAGAACTCTTCCAAGAAGTCTTAAATGGGTGTTTCAAGATTCATTGTTGCATGTTCAGTCCTAATGTTTAAAAATAAGTTGAATGATCCTTGACCCACGCAGGTTCCTATTCATTTACTAATAGAGATGAATGACACAGTGCCATTATCTTTCAGTCTTCCTGCTAATTGCCTGTTTTCATTTGAAAGAGTGTTATTAGGAAGTCACTCAAAATGTTACCATTGTTCTCACTCTGTGTTGAAAACTGTGTATTGGTTTTTAGTTTTGGAAAAAAGGAGTGACAGGTGGTCTATCAAGCCTGGAAATTATTGATTGAATTCACACCTGTCTATGTATCGTGGGTGTATTCTATTGATAGAACAACATTCATTGTTTCGAAAGAACTACTGATTTTCACTCTGCTTCTTGTTGTCATCATATTGGTACTGGCTCAGAGGTGACCTCCCAGCTGGTTTTCAGAGGCTGTACATCACTTGGAAGGATATTGCCCATCTTCTTCCTGAAGTGAAGTGGGTGGATTTGAGCAGCCTGGCTTTGAGTTATCAGCACAGCTCCCTACTACCTAGGCCACAGAGTGAGCATTATGAGGCATCATCTGAGCTAAAGGTAATACTGGTGGTGAAATTCCAGACTTTCTGGGCTGCAAGGTCAACAATTTAAATCCACCAGCCTCTAATAGAAAGATACACAGGCTCCTCCCATAAAGATTTACAGTCTCAGAAACCTAGCGGATGGTCACTTATGAATCAGAACTAACTCATTGGCAGTATTTTTACTTTTGGTTTTGAAAGAGTCATGTTCATTTTATAAGGCTAAGAAAAAGATAAGCTCTTTTTATTCCTCCCTCGATACTTATATAGGGAGCTCTGGTGCCCAAGTGGCAAGACACCATGCTGTGTTTCCAAAGGCACACTGTTCGAGGCCACCAGCTGCTCTGTGGGAGACAGATGGGCAATCTCCTCCCATGCAATTTACTGCCTCTGAAAACCTGCTGGAGGGTCAGCTATGGGTTGGTTCTGATTCTACAGTACACAACAACAACAGACATTTTCATACTGGCATCTTTAAGTTTCTTCCATGTATTATATTTTCTAGATAGATCTTGGTGAGCTTCTTGAAAAGAAGCATTTAAAAATGGGCAAGCGATTGAATAACAACGAAAGAATTTTTTCCTTTTTTAAGAGAAAAGCAAACTGGGGGGGGAGGGGTGGGCAGGGAGGAAAATGTGCAACAATGAATGAATGGGGAACATTATGTGTGTGTGTGTGTGTGTGTGTGTGTGTGTATAAATATTTTGAGGCCCATATTTAAAAATATTTTTAAAATTTATTTTCACAATTCTTCCAGACTTGAATGTTATTCATGCCTTTTAGAGATCTACAGGTGTCCATTGCTAGATATTTTAAAAGACATTTTACTTTTAAAAAAACTATTGTTTGTATTTCTTACTGTCACTTTCTTGTTCACCATTGCCCAGAACATTGACATTAAAATAGGATTTCTCTTTTCAAAATGAGGATACACCCACTGCTTCGACAATTCATGTAAATAAATAATCTTGTCCCTGTCACATCACATGCCCCTACTCTTGAGAAAGTGCACTGATACACATCAATATATTGTATTATACCCTCATTTGGGGAAAACAAATTAGTGAGAGGAAAATAGCAAGAAAAGAAATTTTTAAGAAGAAAAGAAGCAAATCTCAGAGGCTAGTTAATACTAATAAAGTGGAAAGAGAAGAATCTCTCTTTTGGAAAGTATAATATTTTTATGACTGTGACTAAAAATATTGGGATTTTATGGAAATAATGCTGTCTTGAGGTTGCCTAGGTTTGTGTGGCAACTGCAGTTAAGAACATAGCTTTCACTGAGATCGCAAAAGCAGACAGTATGATTCTATATAGTTTCCTTTAGTTGTTGGTGAGACATATACATTGAGAGATTTTTGGTTTATATTTTGGGAATAAATGTTTGAAATCAGGAAGCTTTTCTTAAAACTCTACTGGAATACTCATTTCCACACAAGTTTCTTTTACAAAGCTACATAATAAAAGCTCTGAGATTTTCCCCTAAACAACAAAGTTGACATTCTGCTTTGGAGAATTGTGTTTGTAGACTTATATACGTGGTGACCTTTTCTACTTCCTTCTTATTTTTAGCATCCAATTAATGTTGTCTAAATGAATGCCTGTTTAGTATTGGCCACATTTTTATTCTGATGTTCCTTCAGGCAACAAAAATTATTTGCAGTTCAGTTTATTAATTTGTATACAGTTTCCTTTTCTCCACACAATGCACAGCTTGTTCACTCTTCTATATAGTGTTGAACAGAATAGCTGTCGGTTTGGTTTATCATAACCTCAATAAAACATCTTTACAAACAGACTCAGTAAGCTGCATTTGATCTATAGTTTTCATCTGAAAGGACCAGGAAGGGAAAAAAGAGACATTGTATCTTGTTCAGAATGGAACACTTGCCTCATTCTGGTGATTCACAAATTGTTCATTCTCCTTGTAAACATGTTCCCTTGATTTCCATTTAATTTTGTGACCCAAACAATAGTGACAAAGAATTCTATTGTAATATTTCCCAGTGATCACTGTATGCTTGATTTCAAACACAGGCCAGTGCGCAAGGAGTTCAGACCATGATAGCTTTTGCTTCTTTACTTGTGTCTTTAATTTGGATATATTTTGAACCATTTGGATGTAATTAATGAATCCATAAATTAATTTTATGATATATGTTGATAAGTTTAAAAGTTAATCCCAATGTGATTTTGTTTTGTTGGCAGGTGGCCCGGCGTTGGGGCATTCAGAAAAATAGGCCAGCTATGAACTATGATAAACTTAGCCGTTCACTCCGCTATTATTATGAGAAGGGAATCATGCAAAAGGTGAGCAGCTAATACGGCATTAAGATTCATTGAAATGTTGCACGTTAATCTGCACGTCATACTTCTAAAGTCACATATCACTGCACTGCTGAAGCGAGGTTTTTGCTCATTTTAGCAAATGCTTACCTCTTGGTTTTGGTATTACAAGCATTTCTATTTATAAATGCATGGGCATGGTTGGCAAATGTGTAATCATATTATACACAAAATGATAGGCTTCTGAAGTTCCCACTATTCTGGATATAGTAAGAAAATAGCTGTTTCAGTACTGAAAGTACATCTCTGTATCTCTAGAAGTTGTCATTCTATCCCTTTATCCAAATTCTATAATTTTGAAACACTTTTGTTTATAGAGTCTAATAAAAGCAAATGTTTTCTACTAATGAAATCACTGCTTGCTTTCCTTTTCTGATTCTTAAAAACTTGTGTGTGTGTGTGTGTGTGTGTGTGTGTGTGTGTGTGCACGTGCACACCCTTAATTATTACATCTAAGCTGTGCACGTATATTCAAATATAATTCCTTGAATGGAATCACAGTATGTAGATTTTGAGCACTATAGTCTTGTTAAGTATCTCTTGTTGATATTTGGTAGATGTGGTCACAGTTATGTATTTCAGTGTTACATTTTTATGTTATGTTAGTTAAGCCATAGAGCAAATGTTACATGAAACATAAATAAAAAAGAGAGAGAAAGCAGTTTTTAAATTTCCTAGACCTAGGGTATTATTGCTTTGGAATTTGTCAGAGTGTAAATTAGTACTTTCAAGGTTCTTCAAAATGAGAATGACAAGATTCTCCAGTTGCTTCCTTTCTTCCCCTGAATTGCACATTCAAAATTTTTTTCAGGTTTCCTACCTACTCTTCCTATCATCTTCCTCTCGACTAGGAGGCCATTTGTCATTATTGCCTGTCTGTCATCCCACCTCATTCTTTCAACTACACTCATTGCTTCCATTTTCCCCAGCACCTTCTTGATCCGGGGAAGAGATCACCTTCATTGTCAGTCACAAAAGGTGCTTAATATACTTCTTGGGCAATGATCCACAGGAGTTAAAGAAGGTACATTGTGCTTTGGATGGGCTTCTCACTTGATCACCCTTCTAAACATATTCTTCTGCTATTAGATTTCCTACCTCATAAAGTTTTAGTGACTATTAAATGAAGTCATGCACTCAAGACACTTTGTGTGTGGCACAATGAAAGACTTCAGTAAATAGTAGCTCGTAATGCAGCTTACACACTAAAGCTAGAGTAAGCAAACGCACATTTGAACTTGTGTGTCTTGATCATGTATGTTCTTTATTTAAAATTCCCCAGTCTTTTCTCTCTTACCCAGAGAATGAAGTTAAAACCCAATGCAAAATTCTGCTCTTATGTGTAATGCATTTTCAAACATGTATGAAGGTAGAAAATGTAAAGTTGGAATATACACGTGCCAGTTAGAGGTCCGTTGCCCAGAGAATTAGACATGGTATTACAGAGTGTATTGAACTTATTCTCAATTTTAAAAGTGTTCAAGCTTTTGCATCTTTTTGTCATCAGTATTGCTTTTTCCACATTCCTGTTTTCCTTTGAAATAAAAAATAGAAAATAAAAGTAGTAGTGGAATACATGCCAAAATGCGATAAAAATGGTTTTACTCCTTAACATTTTCCCTGGTAAGCCGTAACTGTTGTGCCACCAGGGCACATCATCCACTGGTGTAACTCACTCACTGCTGTGGACTCACTTTCCAGTCCGGGCAGCTTTCCATCAGGTTTCTGAGGCTATAAATCTCCACAGGAGAAGACTGCCCATCTTTGTCCTTTCTCCTTCTGCATGGTTGGGGGATGCAAACTGTGGACCTTTTGCTTAGCACTATTCCACCACGACCCTTAACAAATAACATAGACATGGGAGAGAGGAGAAAAACCTCAACTTTATGTTACAGTCTTTTGAAGTATTACTATATCATGAAAGAAAGTGTGGATCATTTGTCAGTTCAACATACAAAAGTTGAAGACTGTACCTAGGACAACAGTCAAGCCCTTTATACTTTTTATTCCTCTTGCTCACTTGCCTTGTTCCAGTCAGCTTGTTGGTCCTTGTCGTACCTGTGACCCCCTTAGTGCTTTACTCACACTGTTGCCTCTTTGGAGAGCTGCATGGATAAGCTAGGTGATATTGATCACGGGAATTATGCCGTAGTACAATTTAGAGCAGGACTATGCAGTCCATATGGAGAACACTAGTGGCCTAGTCCTTAGGGAGTTGCACTGAGAGGTAGTGCCTTTATTGAGCTTCAAATCCACCAGCAGCTCTGAGGGAGAAAGATGAGTAATCTCCTTCCATATGAGTTACAGCCTCTAAAAACCAGCTCAGGCCGAGTGGTTCCAACGTGATGGCAGTGAGCAAGAGAGCTGTGGGGTGGAATTATATGCTTCAGCCTAGAGAGAAAATACCCAGATGACCACATGCGAGCGTTAATTTAAAACTACGTATGTGTGCATGTGGTGTTCATCAAAGAAGAAAGAAAGGAAGGAAGAAGAAACCAACTGGGGGCAACGATGAAAAAGAATAAAGTAAAAACTAGTAATTAATTTCTCAGTGATGAGAGACTCATTCATTTCATTTTCTTTTTCCTTGGAATACTTTGAACAAAGATGTTAAGTGCAAAACTAGAATTTGTTATCTTAGCTTTCTTTCTGTTCCTGCTTAATTTCACTTTTATGGCCCGTTCATCTTTAAGAACTTGTTTCCTTTATTATGCTCCTTACTTTGCTAGAACATTCTGCTCAGTGCTGGAAACATCCCTCTAAATCCTGCCACAGTCTTTCCACATGACAAAGCACTGAGAGACAGTTTAAGAAACATGGCCATATTCATAGACACTAACTAACATAGGCATGGGGGAGAGGAGAAAAAAGTATTGACGGGAAAACCTTGGAAATGTTCAGATTATTTGATTTCTGTAAAACAGCTCTTAACAATTAAATCCAGGGGGAGAAATCTTTTAAAGATGAATCTTCTAGAAAAGCCACGTTCTTTGGCCATTTTCCTCTTTCAAACAGAAGCAGGTAGTTAAACTATGACAATGGCTTGCCCTGTATCACAAATTAACTATAGCACCTCTTTGATAAGCAGGAGCACAGTGGTGTTGAGTAATTTTCACTCTTCTACAATAACCAATCTCTATATACATTTTAAAAAAGGCCCCATCAGAGTTAAAACACAGAACTGTATTTGTCCCTCAACCCTCTTGGGTGTTTGAGAACCTCAGCCTTGTCTACTAATCAGGCATGTTTGTCTCACTCTGTAGTTTTAAATTTCTTAGAGGATCATTACTCTTCAAAATATAAGTTTGGGTTATGTCTTTCCCACAAATTATGCTACTTCTCCTTTACTTCAGGCAGTTGTCACATTTCTTTTTCTCATTTCCTCCTGATGCATTGTATATTTTAAATTCCTTTCACTTTTTTGCACCTCTTATTTCAATCTGACACTTTACACACATCCTTAACTTCTGTCTAATGCATCTTGCCTTCATTTTTAAAACTGATGTACCCAGGATAATGCTGTTCTCTTGATCCATCCTTCATGTAAATAAGGCTCTGCATCTTTCCCCTCCTCCCTTTCTTTTCTTTGTGATGTGAATATATAGCACAAAACAAAACAAGCTCTCCCCAGTTTGCCCTGAGAACCACTGGTCTGTTCTTATGAGGAATAAGCCACTTCTTTTTAGGGCTTGGAAATTTTTTTTCCTGCTTTCAGAATATAATAATAAGAGAGAGACACTACACACACTACAACTGTAAATTCACATTTAAGTTTTATCATTAAGAACAAAGAAAACATTTCAGTGTGAGTTGTCATCATTAAAATAAGTTTTATAAAGTTTGCCTTTATGTTTATACCAATTCTTGAACTATTTGGCTATACCTGGAATGAACATGATTTTTATTCATGGACAAAATAAAAGACTATTTCTTTCTACTATTCTTTCTCGAGTTTCCTCTATTAAGCAGTAGTTTGTTTTACATAATGAAGATTGACACACACAAACAGAGAAACACACACACGTGTCTATTAGTAATTGGTTGCTTTTCTTTATCCTCTATTACCCATCCTCTCTGCTGTATTAAACACTGTTTTTGTTTGCTTTGCCCCCTCTTTGTGTTATAATCAGGTGGCTGGAGAGAGATATGTCTACAAATTTGTGTGTGATCCAGAAGCCCTTTTCTCCATGGCCTTTCCAGATAATCAGCGCCCTCTGCTGAAGACGGACATGGAGCGTCACATCAATGAAGAGGACACAGTGCCTCTTTCCCACTTTGACGAGAGCATGGCCTACATGCCCGAAGGTGGCTGCTGCAACCCCCACCCTTACAGTGAAGGCTACGTGTATTAAACACGAATGACAGTCAAGCTGGGCATGCTCACGCTGTCCTTCTCTTTGCAAGATGCAGAGAATCACTGTATTCTCTTCAATCTTTGTTTTATTTTTTTTGTTGTTGTTTGTATTTTATTTTTAAATAATAATACGGAAAAAAGGGGCTTCTCCTGTTGCATTATTCTATGGTCTGCCATGGACTGCGCACTTTATTTGTGGGTGGGTGGGAATAATCTAAACATTTATTCTATGTAACAGGAATATAATGGGTTAAGGGGTGGGTGAGGTTGGGGAATTACTTTTTATTAAGGTTTGGGATGGGGGTGTCCTACAAGTTTTAAGTATAATGAAGCTTATCATGTCTGTTTGATTTCATAACAGCATAAGATAAAGTTCATTTTCTCTGGGTATGTATGGTACAGTTAATTCACATTGTGTAAATACCCACTTGGAGGCTATTTACCCAGTGATATGCCTTGGGCGTCCTCCCTCCCAAACTCCATTAACTTTGAGCCTCTGCAGGTGTACAAAAGAAAGATCTACTGTAAATGGCAGTTTAGTGATTATAATTGACTGGTTTTGTACCCCTTGTAAAAAGGTATTTAGAGATTGCATATGCTGTTTTTTGTTTTGTTTTGCTTTATATTTGACTCGCAGAGGAAAACCATGAAATGGGGGACTCTCTGAAGTTTGGGAATTACCATGACTGCAAATGAGGGGCACAAATTTGAACTCTGGCTCCAAACTGAGTCGAAGGCCAGTAGCATTACATGGATCTGGTGCCACCTTGCTGTTTAGATTCAGATCATACTGTCTCTTAACTATTTTGTAGCCCATTTCACTTAAGTAATGACATGTCTTGGTCCTTTGGGATCTCATTTAAATGTTAAATCTGGGATTACAGTGAAGAAAAAAATACCTGGCTCCTTTCACTTCCTTAAGTACATAAATACATTATTTAATCAGTAAGAATTAACTGTACTAAATCACATATTATGCTGTTCTAGATACAGCAAGCACTCCTTAAGAAAAATATCCACTACACTAAATAGGTACTATAGTAATTTTTAGACATGGTACCCATTGATATGCATTTAGACCTTTTACTGCTGTGTTACGTTGATAACATATATAAATATTAGATAATGCTAGTGCTTCTGCTGCTGTCTTTTCTGTAATATTCTCTTTCATGCTGAATTTACTATGACCATTTATAAGCAATGCAGTTAACTACAGATAGCATTTCAGGACAAAATAGATGACTCGAACCATTTATTGCTTAAAAAATAGCTTACGCCATGCTATGCTCTAAGCAGCTTTTATGCACATTGACAAATGAAGAGTAAGCTTCAGCTTGCTAAGGGAAACTGGAAACTTTTGTAACTTTTGGTGAAATGGAAAATTATTTACAAACTGTCAAAGAATATGATGAAGTTGCTGTATTACATAGTGCTGGCACTGATATTATCCATCATCTTGTTTTAGAGACTCATGTAAATGTGATTGGATTGTTTGAAAGAAGATTTAAAGATTCAAAGTTTTGTTTTGTTTTTGTTTTTGAAGAAAATATTGAAAGCAGGGCATGTGGTTCTATTCATTTTGGGGGGAAAATATTAATGAAATAATATCAATTAATAGCCTGCCAAAAGATTGAAGGGAGAAACACGAATTTCATTCAATCCATGGTTATCTTAGAAGAAGAATCTTCAGATTTTTATCAAAGAAAAAAAAATCCTAATCACAGACCATAAAAAAACTATAAAAGCCTATCATGAAAAGCATAGGAAAAATTTTTTAAAGACGATTCCTTCTGCTACCCATTTGCCACAACATAGCTTAAAATAAACTAGGTAATGAGAACTCCCTCCTATAACAAAATCTATTCTTTTCACACTTAATCTTGTTAAAATATAGTTTTGACTTGTATATTTAACATTGTGATTTCAGTGATTGTTCTATTATATGTCATCTGGCTCATTGTGGGCTAATAACTATGCCTTAAAAATCAGAACTTTGATTTTATTTTTCATTATGTTTGTGGCCCTTAACAGCACTTAAAAACATTTTTTAAATTCAGCTAATATTTTATAAGAAAGAATGAGATATTTGGATAAGTTGAAGGAACAGAATTTAAGTGGGTCATAAAAATAAGGTCTAAATGAAAGTTATTTGGAGATTTTTTTCTTTTTTTCCCCTTTCCTTATTAATATTTTAATTCTAGCCTGCCAGTGGGGAACAATTGGGCCATGAGTTATGTTAAGGAATCAAAGGATGAACTGGTATGAATAATATAATATTTAAAAACAAATGATATATTTTGCTGTTTAATGTAGTGACTCACTGAAATTCATAGTAATTGGCCAATATTAAGTATTTTTCCAATACATTATAAACTCCTGGAAATTCTTGGAAAGTATGTCTAAAGTATTTTTTGTTTTGGTTTATTTTTTAAGATTCTGTTTTTATTCTACATTTTCTTTGTGCTTTTATTTTCAGGTAGATTAATAAATCTGGCAGCTAATTTCTGCAAAATCATTGTGTTTTGAATGTTTTAACTGAATTGGCTAATCAAACAGAAGTGACTAGGAATATGTCTACCTTCAACATGTTAAAAGTCCATAAAATATCCGTAATATGGCTGCTGCCTCTGGTAATGATATACTAATATAAACTTATCCTCTCAAGAAATATAACTCCCAAACACTTAATGGGAAATTATTCTGCTTAAGTTATACCTATTGAAAAAGATCAAATTTACAAGACTTCACAGTACAAAACACTTTTCTAAAATAATAGAAACATCTTATAAAGTCCTTTAATTAAACCTCTTTTTAAAAGATTTTCATTAGTTTCTTGTCACTGTAACAAATTACCACTAGTTTACTGGCTTAAAACAGCAAAAATACGTCTTCATACAGTTGTGGAGCAAATTTCGTTTCTTCTGCAGTCTGCCCAGGAGAATACGGGTCTTGCGGCTTCTGTTTCTAGCTGTTACCAGCATTCATTTGATACTGACTGCATCCCTTCAATCTATTTTATGGTAGTTGCACCTCCTTTTCTGTAGCCATAACTCTTCTTTCCATTTTTTCATGTGGTGACCTTTAGGATTCATTTGGGCAATCCACAGTTCTTAATCACATCTACTACAAAGTCCCTTTTATCGTACAAAGCATCATCCAGAGATTCTGGGAAGTATAACATGGACATTTGGGGGGTGTGTGTTAGGTGTAAGGTGTTGACATTTTTCAGTCTATCACACAGATGAAGACACTGTATACTAAAAATATTCAATTACTTTAATTATGGACAAAGGAATATTAAACTATCTGGGATTAGAATTCATGAATTGTTTTAACTTAATAGTTTAGTTATTTTTCCCCATTTTACTCCACATAAATGGTATTGAAAGCAAACAATATTTAAGTTTATCCATTCCACTAAAGCACTGACTGATAATCACCAGTCTTATTTTATTCCCCCTAGGAAAACTGTATAATGATAGAAAAAAGAGTAATGGCACAATCACTTTTATAGTTTGTCAAATTACTTTTTTTTTTAGTGTTAGTATGGGTTGGTACAATGAGATCTTAACCTTTGCCAGTGATTGTCATTTATTAGAGAAGAATACTATGTAACGTGTGTCTGTTAATAGGAAAATTTTAAAATAGGAGGTGATTTACCTTCATTTTATTATAACAAGGAATTAAATTTACTACTGTTCATAAAAGTGTTTAAAATCATACATCATTAAAAAAATTTTAGAGTTTATAATGAGAAAATACCACAGAAGTAAATAATTTTAATGTTCATTACTTGGCATATTTAAAGACAAAAATGAAAATCTAAGAAAAATGAGTGATAAAATTAGACTTGTTTTATTTACAATGATACACTTACATTGCATCAATATAATGACAGGAAGAAACTAAAGAAGTCACAAGTAAATATTGAGCAGTGATGATAAAAACTGCTTAAAGGCCAGAGTTCAGTAAGTTATTTCTCTTTGGGGCATAATACTACAGAATGTAGCCCAATTTGCTCAAGACTTAACTTTCTTCAGAAAAAGTGACTTTAAAAGATTAATGGCAAAGTCTATTGATAGTTTAAATAACATTGGAAAATGCAATTAAAGATCTGTATAAGATAAATATATTTTACAAAGTAACACATAAGGTAGTTTTTGTTTATTTTTTCATATATGATTCAGTGACTGGGGTAATCGGGATGGGTGTGTCAGAGGCAATGCGATTGGCACAGGATAGAGCAGGGTTTAGGGCTATTGTACATAGGGTCGCTATGAGTCGCAAATGACTCGGCATATAAAAACAACAACGACATATAGTCTAATGTTGTTTACTTCAGTTCTAAAAATGTTTCTATAAGGATTTTAAAAATTTAGTTGTATTGCAATTATACTTAAAGTTTGAGATAACATAATTTGAAAATTTATGTGGTTTTAGCAAATTATAGTAAAAATTCAAAGTTAAAAGTTCAGAAACTAAACCCATTCAGAGTGTCCTGATCACTGAAAAGAAGACAAATCCTTTTTTAATTAAAAATTTTTAATAATTTTACTCATCTTAATAATTTTAATTAATTTCTACCAAAGCAATTGACTGATGTCTATGCTTTAGTCTCATCTACTTAATATTCACTTTAGAGCTAACATAGACTCAGAAACAGCTGGTAAATCATAGTTCTTCAATGTTTCAACAATTTAAATACCTTATTTCATCAAATCTCTTAAATAACCAACCAGGAGAAGTTGGAGGGGAGGTGAAGGTGGTGGAGTCCCTAAATAATTTGTGTGACGTCCACAGGCCAGAAAGGGTATATGTCTGATTTCTGTTACTACCTCCAATATGGGTTAGCTTTAAAAATGAGAAGGAGAAGCTAGTAGCCAAATGACATTGGCCAAGTCAAAATGACATTGTCTCATCATGGCTTATTATCACTGGCGAATTAATAACTCTTTGTTTTTCCCGTATCCTGAACCAAGTTTCTTTAACCGACTAAAA